GGGTGTTCTGGGCTGAGTGACCTGCAGCCGAGCTGAATCAGTGTCCGGCGCCACCCTCCCCCTGCTTCTGTCTGAGCTGCACCCTGGACAGTGGACAGACAGAAGGTTTCCTGCTGTAGGGAGACGTTTCCTGCATTATCCACCAGATGGCCTTGGAAAAAGAATCACACTGAAAGTGAAATTCTGGTTAATGTTATTTAATTCAAACTTGCAATCTAGCTGAGCTCCGGATACCTACCGGTAATAAAAAGAAACTAGAGGCCAAGTTATGCCATTAGAGGGCACCTGTAATCTTAGAGTCTGTTCACATGGACCTGCTAAACCAGGCTGGGTCTTAGGAAGGATAAGTTGTTTACTATGTAAAGTGACCGATTCTTAAACTGAATGTCTGAGAGAGAACATTTTATTGGCAGGGAACAAAAATCTATAAAATCTTAAAACCACCATTTAAACAATTTCTGAGTAAAGGTTCCATTTTGTACAGTGAACACAAGTTACAAAAATATACACAGTGTGTCTGCAAAGTAATTTTTGGTTAGTTGTGTTTGGAGCTTATTTTAAATGCATTTTGTTAAAAAAAAAAATCCTGCCTGTAGACTGGTGGAGTTGAACAAATGATTGAAGTTCCCTAATGGTCGAATTTGTTTTCCTCTCAACAGTTGAATGTTATTAGATGACATTTTGGAAAGTGCAGTGTGGTGAAATTGAATTCTTGTGTTTCAAGGTCCTGCTTAATCATGAACACTTTTCAGAAAAATATCTATTTTGCCCGTATTGTCCTGTTAATTAAGATGGTTTCAGAAACAAAAAGTGTGACCTGATGGAATTTTAGTTTAGAGAATATGATTTTTTTTTGTTTAATTGGAACCTTATAGTCATACACAGTTGCTGGGTTCATCCCGCAAACTCAAGCACGCGTGGAATTGATTCCAGCTCACACTCCTTCCTCCCCTTCCCCATCGCCCCTCATCCCCTCCCTCCCTCATCTCCCCCTCCCCTATCTCCTCCCTTCCCCACCTCCTCCCACCCCATCTCCTCCCTCTTCACCTCCCCTCCCCCGTCTCCTCCCCTCCCCCGTCTCCCCCTCCCCCACCCCCATCTCCTCCCTCCACTCTGCTAGACCTCCTGATGCTCTTCTATTTATGTTTGGCTGGTTCTTTTCACTTATGCATAAAGGTGAGATTCCCTGTGGTGTATTCATGTAGCCTTGCCCCATGGTTCTGGAAGAGTTAGTTCTGCCTCCTTACGCTCCCTCCCTCTGCCACTCTCCTCATTCTTGTGTGTTACTGGTCTTCCCTCTGTAGGGCCCTCTCCCTCCTCCTGTCCTTTACTTTGCTCTAGCTTCTGCAGGTGGGAGAAGCACTTGACCTCTGCGTTTCACTTAGCGTGAGGTTCTCCATTGCCATGCCGTAACACTGTTCTTTCCCTGTTACGTGTCTGCACCACAGTTTCTTCTTAATCCACCCGTCTACTGAGGGCACCTGGCTGGTTCCACAGTCTGGCTGCTGTGGACGTGGCTGTGTTGCTGTAGAATGCTGACTGGTTTTCTTAATCCACCCGTCTACTGAGGGCACCTGGCTGGTTCCACAGTCTGGCTGCTGTGGACGTGGCTGTGTTGCTGTAGAATGCGGACTGGTTTTCTTAATCCACCCGTCTACTGAGGGCACCTGGCTGGTTCCACAGTCTGGCTGCTGTGGACGTGGCTGTGTTGCTGTAGAATGCGGACTGGTTTTCTTGGATAAATACCAAGGAGTGGGACTGCTGGGTCCTGTGGTGGTTCCCCTAGTTTCTTGAGGAATGAGGGTGTGCTTTTGGTGGGGGAGGCTGGACCCAGGCACCAGAACCTGGAACTTACTCCTTCTCAGCCACGCCCACCCTTAGATCTGACAGCTTTGACCACTCTGCTAAGGTTCCCTGAAGATCTGAAGGTTGAAAGGCCCCAAATGCAAACCTTCTGAGCACCAGTGAGCCACAGTGGAAAATTCCACACTAGGAAACTTCATCTCACTCACAAAATCATTTAAAATATTGTATAATATCACCTTCAGACCACACATATAAGGTGTATAAGAAGCATGAATCTCGTGTTTAGGATAGGGTCCATACCCAAGAGACRTCATTATGTATGTGCAAATATCCAAACTCCAAAATAAAAATAAACCCCGAATCTAAAACATGCCTAGTTCTAAGCATTTCAATCAAGAGGAGTCGACCTTACAAACGCCTTTGAGAAGTGCCTGGGATGCACAGGAGCAGAGCCTCATGGGGGGTGGGGCTGGGGGCCCTGCTCTGCATGTCCCCTCATCCAGAATTGCTCAGTAGCATTCAGTGCTAAGCAGCTGCGTGGAGATTGTGCAGATTGGATCCGGTTTACAGTGCTTTCAAAGTCATTTAAGATGAGAAGTTCATATTTCCACCTCTAGTGTTTACTACGGGCCCCTACCTGCCTATGCTGCTTTCCCATGTTTAAAATAAGGAAAATAGCCGTGCCCACCTCAGAGGGTCTTGGAGGCCTTGGGTGCACACCACGGGAACAGTCAGAAGGGTGCCTGGCGGGCGGTGTGTGCACGGTGACATTCACTAACACATCGTCTCACAGTTCATCCCRGCAACTGGCTGATGTAATGAGAGGAAGTTCCCCAAGGGCCACTGAGGAACTGGGGCCTCTGTGGCTGTCGTTCCTCGGGTTCCGGACCAAGTGAGTTCCTGGGGCACTGGTCCCCTTAGCTGGCCAGTCCTGCAGTGGACAGCCATGTGGACAGAGTGGAGCCCCTTGAGGACGGCTGTCCTGGAGTGGCCAGGGCAGGGGTGGCCCTGACCCATCCACTCCACAGTCCCGGGAGCACAGAAGGCTACCATTCCTGACAGAAGGCTACCATTAATTGTCCTCCTCTGCAGTCAGGAGGCGGCGTTGTGGGCATGGTGCATGCGACACAGAGAAGTGATTTTATTGTGCTAACACAGGTATTTTTATGAACATGTGATTAAGGGTACAGACGGGAGCTGAGGGGGCAGAGACCCACCCAGCTCAGCCCATCACATCCTCTGCTTAGAGTGCTCAGCTGAGCGTGGCCACCTCTTGTGGACGGACGCTTGCTGATGGCTGTAGACACAGGAGCTCCCACTTACACCTGCCCTGAGTATCCAAGGGAGAGGCCATTTCTGGGGCCTGGCAGGGAGGGTCGTGCTCAGTCTCAGCAGCTCCGTCCCTCTGTGGAGTTCGGGGATCTCTTGCCCACCACTGAGCCCCGGCCCCGTCCCTTTGCAATTTTCTATTTTGAGACAGGGTCTTGCTAAGTTGCTGAGGCTGGCCTCAAACTTGTGATTCTCCTGCCTCATCCTCTCAAGAAACTGGAATCACAAGTGTGCACCACTGTGCCCAACTTTTCACATTTTCATCTTAAAGACAAATGCATCCTTTCAAAAATATTTTAAGTTGTCTGAATCTATTTTTGATAGCATTCAAAGAAAGGCAAAATTAGAGTCAAATGATGTGTTAAGTAGAGGTTAATTAGTTGTATCTAAAATAGTGTCTATTTAAAATAAAACTGGCATTCACCTCATCTCAAATTGCTGCAAATATTTATTTGCATTAGAATTTTTCACTATTTAAATTACTAAAGTGTAGAAATACCGCATTTCTCTAATGATTGAATTCCCTGATGTGCTCTAAGTCAGAKTGGTAAGGAAACCGTTCCTGACGTAGCTCTCTCTCTCTGAGAGCAAACGTGCCAGCTCCTCAGAGGCACAAAACCTGGTTGGGGCTCCTGACAGCCCCCCAGCCGGGGGATGAGGTGGGGAGACAGTGGCCTGCAGTGCTGGAGACCTTGGTGGGGGTCGGTGAGAACTGCTGAGGGTAACTCGGTGAGAGTCCTTAGGACGTRAGGCCTCCAAGGCCCGGCCGCCCTGGGAGTGGAAGCCACGCCGATTTCTAACACGGTGGGGCTTGACATGTGCCTGTGGCGTGGGAGAGTCTGGTGGCCTGTACGCTAGGCATCAGTGATAACTTGCCTTGTGGTTTTGCACAGATTCCCTGCGAGGGAGTTGGACGTCATAATCTCTAAACAAGTTCTGAAATGAAAATCCAGTCGCGGAACCAGCAGAAGACTCTTCAGAACCCTCAGTCAAGGGTTTCGTACAGGGGTTGAGTCCAGGGTGCTTGACCACTTTTCCACATCCCCAGTGTTTTTGCTTGTTTTTTTTTTTTTGGTCTTGATACAGGGTCTGCCTAACTTGCTGAGGTCCTTCTACCTCAGCTTCCGAAGTAACTGGGATTACAGGCACGTGCCACTGCACCCAGCTCAAGGTTTCTTTTGTGTGGGGAGTACCAGGGGCACTTAACCACTGAGCCACATCCCCAGCCCTGTTTTGAATTTTTATTTAGAGAGAAGGTCTCATTGAGTTGCTTAGGGCCTTGCTAAGTTGCTGAGGCTGGCTTTGAATTTGAAATCCTCCTGTCTCAGCCTCCTGAGTTGCTGGGATTACAGGTGTACGCCCCCACATCCAGCTTCAAATTTTAAGGAAGAATAAAATAATCTGTGTAGTAATTTTCTGGCTTTTGACAGGTCTCTGTGACTTATGTTGAAAATAATAGTTCAACCACATCAACAGTTATAACTTGACTGCTGAGGTGAAGTCCAACTCACCTCCRGTAGCCTTGTGTCAGCTACAAGGGCTGACCCTGAATGAAGCCCTAGTTGAAGCGTTACACGTAGACTGAAGCCACCCGTAGTGATCACCGTGGCTTCTGCCATAATCGAAGTGGGAAGCTAATGCGTCAAGTGTCTAAAATTCCTTTGAGCATCTGAAATTTTGGTGAATTCATTCTCAACATCATGAAGTAGTTGGGAAGAAGCAGAGGGCAGATGCTTCCAGAGCGTGTGTGCCTATCGGGGATCTGAGACACCCAGGTGTGGCTCAGGGCCTCCTCTGTGCTCGCTGCAGGAGGGCGTCGGGGAAGGCTGCCTGCAGAACTAACACCGCCGCCGCTCTGTTGCCAGGATGGTGCTGCTCAGCTGGAGTGTGCTGTGGCTGCTGCTGCCTCTTGGCTCCAGGGCCCAGAAGCTGCCCACTCGAGATGAGGAGCTTTTCCAGATGCAGATCCGAGACAAGGCGTTTTTCCACGATTCATCAGTCCTTCCAGATGGAGCTGAGATCAGCAGCTATCTCTTCAGAGACACACCTAAAAGGTACCCTCCCTGCCGCAGCTGTCCGTGAGCTCCTGGGGCCCCCTCCCTAGGGAAGTGCTTTGCAGATCCAGCCTGGAGGGTTGCTCCCATGAGAAAGAAGGGTGGCCAAGGTGGGCTGAGGGAGGCCGCTGATCTTTGCTGACCAGGGCCTCCTTTGGGTGGAAGAGGAACCTTGGCACTATTTCACGCTCCAGGAGGATTATTTTCTCATTTGCAGGACTGTCGGATTAAAATGCAGTTCATTGAATATATATGTTGCTTCAAGGGTTTGCATTGAGGTTTACAAGGATTATGTTTGTTTACCAAATATGATCCAATTTTGAGAGAATGAAATCAAACAGTGATTAAAAATTAATACTGTTCATTTCCTTTAGTCCAACATCATCAATAAATTGGGCTCACATGATAGTCTTAAATATTTCAACCCTAAGAATTTACAGATGTGTGTGCACACATCACATAAATACTAGGTAACAGACCAATTGTTAGGGAAGTGCCCCAGACTGAATCACTGAAACACACCCAAGGCTCAGCAGAAACAGTTCGTGGTCAGGAAATCTGACAGTGTTCTCTCTGCGCAGAGAGAACGGCAGCAGACCTCCTCTGAACTTAGTTTATAAGTCAGAGTCTAGGTTCTGCCTCGGGTGGGCTCAGGTGGAGAGCAAGCTTCAGAACCTCAAGGACCACTCGGCGAGGGGCGGGGGAGCGAGTGCATGGCCACCGGCTCCTGGGGCTGGCAGCCCCTGTACTGGGAAAGGGAACTCTGTGGTCGGGGTGCCGAGGTGTACTGGGAAAGGGAGCTCTGTGGTCGGGGTGCCGAGGGTGTGGTCTGCCTCTGGGTGAGTGGGCTCTTGCAGGAGGGGGCGGGTGTGGGAGCAGGGCACGGTGTCTGGGCAGAAGTGGGGTCAGCTTGACTCAGCTTCTCCGTGAACCCTGGTCATGATGACAGGGAACACGGACTTGATCTATAGTTGCTCACTTTGCCATTCTCCAGCCCCTTCATTGTTCACCTTGGGGTAATTACATTTCAAAACCAGTTTCTCCTTTGACGCYGTGACACCTCGCCTGGCATTCCAAGAGACAAAACTGTCTGGTTCCACCATGATCCCTTTCCAGAGATCACGGAGGACGAGGTGCAGCGGTGGTCCTTTTAGTTCGGAGGCAGCCCCTCTGCTGAGAGCCCTGTCCTGTGGTGGTCACTAGGAGGGAGAGCAGGGGATTGGGTTCCCTGTGGTGACGAGAGGGGCAGGAGGACGGAAGRTGGGGGTGAATTTGTCCCATGTACTCTGCTCTGGCACCAGTGTCCCATGGTAAATGGAGTCCACACACAGCGGGAAGGTTTGGGTACTTCTCCTTGCATAATGCCAGAAAAATCACTTGGTTGTATCTGCTTCTTTGTAAAATAGAAAGACGCAGCTGCGTGGATGTGGTTGGTGCCCTCGGTGCAGCCTGGGCAGAGGATCAAAAGTCTGCTCTGCAAAAAGTAGGCTGAGCTTAAAATCAAGACTGCTGACCCTTCCCTTCAGAGAGGGGAGTGGTCCATGAACCCCGGCACGTCAGCAGGTCAAGCATCTGGCTGTTCTCTCTGGCTGGTTGTCGGCTGTTTTTCAACTAGCTGTTTTGCTTTTCTAGGGTCCTCAGTTTGCTTGTTTTCCCTTTGCCCACCCCACCCTCTAGCTCCAAACTCCTCTCTGGACAGTGAGGGGAAAATTCACTTTCACTCAACTCTGTATCTCAGAGAGAAGGGATTCCAGGGGTGCACCAGGGACTACTGAGGTGCAGACGGTGCTAGGGCTCTCCAGCCAGGTCACTCATCAGTGATCCCCTCCCTGGGAAACGCCCTTCCAGGCCTGAGCCCGCAGAGGTCTGCTAAGTGCTGGGAAGTCTCAGAGGGCCTCTGGGACAGGGTATCGTCCAAGTTGCAGCAGGTGCCTGAGGACCAAGTGCGGACCCCTGGGGTCCGTGGGGAACCTGACCCTGTGTGGGTGGAAGACAGAACAGCCAAGGGAGAGGTGGTCTCCAGGAGACATGGGTAAGGCCTCGCGGCGGCAGAGTGGGGAGGGGTCTGCAGGTGAGGCGGCCCTGGAAGGAAGAGCCTCAGCCGTGGAGGAGTGTCCCCCACAGAGGCCCAAGGCAGGAATCCGCGTGCCCAAGGACAGCGAGGGGCTGGGGCTGGGGCAGAGCGCGGAGGGTCTCCTGAGACCTTCCGCCCAGGGCCTCATGCTCTGAGTGAAACTAGACACTCGCGGGGGTCTCAGGCCGTGCACAGGCTTCCGTGATGGTGCTCCTGGAGGGAGGGAAGGGGCACAGGGTCRCTGGGGTCAGGAGGCCCCTCAGGAGGCGGCTGCAGGCCCAGGCCAGGGGCGCTGGAGACCTGGCCTGTGGCCACACTGTGGGTCAGGCGTCAGATGCTGGGTCTGTTTGAGGAGTGGAGGCTGAGGTGTCTGCTGATCCACCCTGCCTGGAGGGAGGAAGAGGTCCGAGGGCTCCATCCTCTGTCCTGACAGGCAGGGGGTCAGACTCTCCTTTACTGCAGGGGGGACTGCAGGGGAGCTGACCTGGGAGAGAACCAGGGTCTGGAGTGGGCGTCTGAGGTCTGGAGTGGGCGTCTGAGGTCTGGAGTGGGCGTCTGAGGTCTGGAGTGGGCGTCTGAGGTCTGGAGTGGGTGCCTGAGGTCTGGAGTGGGTGCCTGAGGCCTGGTTGGGTGCCTGAGGCCTGGATGGGTGCCTGAGGCCTGGAGTGGGTGCCTGAGGCCTGGAACTCCCTGGTGTCTTAGAGAGCACGGTGAGAAGGTGGCTGTACCTTGGGTTCAGGTTCAGGTTGGCAGGTCACATCTGTTAGCACACAGGAGGGGAAGTGGTCTGGATGAGGTCACATGGGGCATGGGAGACAGAAGGGGTGTGCAGACAGAGCCGGGCTTGGTGCAGAGGTGAGGGTCCAGGGGTCAGGGGAGCCAGTGGGCAGGGGCTGGGGTGTTGGACAGCAGGTGGGTGTGAGTACAGAGAGCAGGGAGGTGAGAGGTCCTCAGCACCGCCGCCGTGCACAGGAGGGAAACCCCACTTTTCTTTGCCAAGGACCCAGGGAGCAGCTCCTTAGGGTCATTGAGCAGGACTCGCAGCATTTATAGCTGGGCAACATTGTGATCTTTATTCCCCTTTAAAAACCTGCAAACAACCCTCCGGGGAAGACTTTTCCTCGTGTCTTTAAAATCCTGTTTAAACCATCAGTGTGTTCAATTGAACAGGAAATTTTCGTGATTAAGAAAAGATAGAGGTGCATCCTCCCACTGTCAGACAGGGACCTTCATTTTCAAAACTGTCTCTGAAATGTGATCCCTTGTCCACAGAGGTTGGACAGTAGAGCCAGGAGGGAGCGTCTCAGGAGGGCAGGTCTGCCACACTGGGGCGTGGTGTCACCCCCTTGTTGGTGGCCACCCGGCTAAGCCCCTGCCACGCAGTCGAGGGTGACGTGAATGGAGGCTCCTCTGCTCGCTGTCTCGGCGTTAGGTCTCCTGTACTTGCTGACGGTGCGTCTGGTCTGCCCTTCCCCAGGTACTTCTTTGTGGTGGAAGAGGACAATACTCCACTCTCGGTCACGGTGACGCCCTGCGATGCGCCCTTGGAGTGGAGGCTGGGACTGCAGGAGCTGCCCGAGGATGGCAGCGGGGAGAGCTCAGGTGAGCAGCAGCCCTGGTGAGGGCTGGGGAGGTGGTGCAGCCAGGCAGCAGGGCAGCCTGGTCCCGAGAAGCTGCAGCCCGAGAGGGAGAGGAGGGAGAGGAGGGAGAGGAGGAAGGAGCCAGGAGAAGCTGCCGGCATGCTCTGCTGGCCCCTGTGGTACTGCAGTCTGCCTGGACGGTAGGCCCCCGGGGACTTTGAAAGCTACCCGGTTTGGTTTCTCCCTCAGATGCCATGACTTAACTGCCCTGGGCGGGCCCTTCGCAGAGTGGGGGAATGTGAAATCTCACACGTCTGGCTTTCAGTCTGCGGTGAGATGGCCAAGGTTCCTTCCTGAGCTGGTGGTCAGGCCTTCATCAGGCCCTGGCATGGGCCAGCAGTGTCCAAGGATGGCCAAGTCAGGTGGCTTTGGTACTCCCGACACATCTGGACACTGAGCCTCGGCTGCTCGGACAGGTACTTGATTTTCTGGCTTCATGGGGTTGTCCACTCCTGCTGACGACAGTGAGGTCAGCGAGCTGAGCCCACACCCATGGCGCACTCACTGTCCTGTGGGCAAGCTGACTGATGGTCAGGATTCACTGTCTCTAACAAGTTTGAAGCTCTGGACCTAACAACTATAGGTAACCTAAAAAATTATAGGTGATCTATACCCAACTAGATTTTGTGCTGAAGAAATACATCCATACAAGCCAAATACTCGATAAGGTGGTCTTCATCACGGCCACCCATCAAGCAACCATATTATTTTTATGACATCATATTGAAGGAGGAAAACAGGATGCAAAAACTAATGGTTCCTCTAGATCCATTTGTGCATGAGAAGTGATTTACTGACCTCTGGAGAAAATAGGAGACAGTGACCCCCACTGCACTCGGGCACTGGGAGAAGGACGCGTGGAGTGGACCACGGCGGTGCAGAGGCGGCCTCCCTGTGTCCCCTTGTGCACCGTCTCAGGGCTCTGTGAGGAGTGTGTGCTCTCTCTGTCGTGGAGAGCAAGGTGAGAACCCTGTGCACCGCCCAGGGCAGACAGACCACGTGACCTGTAGCCCCTGCTTTGCTCCTGTCTTGCAGGTGACCCCGAGCCCCTCGAGCAGCAGAGGCAGCAGATGACACACGAGGAGGGCCCGGAGCTCTTCTCCTACAAGGGCAACGCYGTGGAGTCCTTCGCCTCCTCCAGTTCCCCCGCGGGTCTGTACCAGCTGGAGCTCCTCTCCACGGAGAAAGACACGCACTTCAAAGTGTATGCCACCACAACTCCAGAGTCGGACCAGCCCTACCCGGAGCTGCCTTACGACCCCCGGGTGGACGTGACCTCCCTGGGGCGCACCACGGTCACGCTGGCCTGGAAGCCGAGCCCCACGGCCTCCTTGCTGAATCAGCCCATCCAGTACTGCGTGGTCATCAACAAGGAGCACAACTTCAAGAGTCTCTGTGCAGCAGAAGCCAAGCTGGGGGCGGACGAGGCCTTCATGATGGTCCCCAAACCTGGTCTCGACTTTAGCCCCTTCGACTTTGCCCATTTTGGGTTTCCTCCCGACCCCCTGGGCAAAGAACGCAGCTTCCTGGCAAAGGCTTCTCCCAAACTGGGCCGTCCCGTGCACCCCAGGCCCAAGGYGGACATTCAGAAAGTCTGCATCGGCAGCAAGAATATCTTCACCGTCTCCGACCTGAAGCCGGACACGCAGCACTACTTCGACGTCTTTGTGGTCAACACGGACACCAACATGAGCACCGCCTACGTGGGCACCTTTGCCAGGACCCAGGGGGAGGCCAGGCAGAAGACCCTGGAGCTCAAGGACGGCAAGGTGACGGACGTGTTTGTCAAGAGGAAGGGGGCCAAGTTCCTCCGCTTTGCGCCTGTCTCTTCCCACCAGAAAGTGACCTTCTTCATCCACTCCTGCCTGGATGCTGTCCAGGTCCAGGTGAGAAGAGACGGGAAGCTGCTGCTGTCCCAGAATGTGGAGGGCATCCGGCAGTTCCAGCTGAGAGGAAAACCTAAAGCCAAGTACCTGGTCCGCCTGAAGGGAAACAAGAAAGGGGCTTCYGTGCTGAAGATCCTGGCGACCACCAGGCCCGGCAAGCAGTCCTTCCCCTCTCTGCCCGAAGACACGCGGATCAAAGCCTTTGACAGGCTCCGCACCTGCTCCTCGGCCACAGTGGCCTGGCTGGGCACGCAGGARAGGAACAAGTTCTGCATCTACAGGAAAGAGGTGGACGACAGCTACAGCGAAGACCAGAAGAAGAGAGAGCTCAACCAGTGCCTGGGACCGGACACCAGGCCCAGGTCCGAGAAGGTCCTCTGCAAGTACTTCCACAGTCAGAACCTGCAGAAGGCGGTGACCACAGAGACCGTCGGAGGTCTGCGGCCCGGCAAGTCCTACCTGCTGGACGTCTACGTCATCGGACACGGCGGGCACTCCGTGAAGTACCAGAGTAAAGTCGTCAAGACCAGGAGGCTCTGCTAGGTCCCGAGGGAGGGACCCCAAGTCACGTTACCTGTTGACTGACAGCTCCCACAGCCGAGAGAAGTCGTCACCTGTGCTTGTGCCACCCSAGGCAGGAGAGCCAGGGAAGCTGATGTTTACAGAGCAGCAGAGAGACCTGCTCCAGCGCCCCAGGTCACCTCGTGTGCATCCGACATCGCTGGACATCCAAGACACAGCCCGCCTGGGAGAAACTGCCGCCCCTCGCTCTGTCCACTGCATGAACTGCTTCTAAATTATTTTATTACCTAAAAGTCTAAAGTACGCCATTCATTGCACACATCCACAAAGGCAGACCATCCCTCTCTATAGACGCTAGGAGATTTATATATATATATATATATATATATATATATATATACACATAAATTATTTTATAAAGTCTTGTTTTAAATGTCCGTGTTTCTATGATTGTAAACTATTAAATTCTTTTGCTGTTAAAGGACAGATCTAATCTAAGTATTCTTAAGTGGACAGCCCTCTAGTAATTTACATATTACTATTGTAAATTCTTATTTGTTGAGTAAGAGGTTTAAATTCTGTATGTATCTCATGTACAAAGTCCACACACATTATTTTCGTGTACATAAAATTAAAGATATTAGATTACGTACTGTCCATTTTTCCCGAGCAGTGACTCTGATGTATCCAATTTCTAATCTGACTCTAAAACTGAGCCTTTCTGTAGTTTGGCACCAAAATCGCCCCCTTTTCAATGATTAGAAGGGGACGCTGTGTCTCTAGGGTTACACTGGCCCCAGAACAGCTATGAACGTGTGTGTGTTTCCACATTGAATGGCAGTCCGCAGTTGTGAGTGGTCAGAGCCACGAGCGCTTGAGTTAAAGGAACAGGAGCACCAAACCCTGTCACCCRCAAGCAGCTGCAGACGTTCCCACCACCCAGAGCACATCGCATTTCAAAGTGCAGGACCAGGATGTCCCTAGCACCTTCCATCTGCCCGAGTCTTAGCAAAACAATCATTTTGACCTTTAGCTGATGCGACTTAGCAAACAGCAACCAGGACTTAGAGCAGAACACGTGTGYGTACGAAGCTGCTGTTTTATAACAAGGACTGTTTGCTGCCCTTATCTCTGGTTTTTGTGGGTTTTCAAAAAGCAACTGGGTGTCAGATGCAATCTAGGCAACTAATAGCGGAAACTGTTTATCCAATTCCACAGCAGGCAGTGCTAGGCGCCCCTGCTCCAGGGGTCTGTTCCCAAATCCCCAGGTGTCGCGGGGACCAGGAAGGGTCTGGAAGTCGCCRCGTCTGGCTGATCTGACTGCAGGGATTCTGTTACTGCCGTCATCTCCTTTTCCCATCCATAACCCCGGGGTGACAGATCTGAGTGGTGGTGTTAGATGTCCTTTGCCATCTTTTGTAGAGTCCCCCAGCTGATTAGGTCCTATGACCACAGTGGGGACAATGTGACCCTTCCCTTCTCACTGACCCTGGTGCTGGCTCGGCCTTTCGGGTGCCATTTTCCTGAGCAGCATTCTGTAGGGTAGAATCACGACGCTACCGTGGTATGAGGGGTGTGAAAGCCCAGAGGCACGCCAGTCCAGGAGATGGACACATCTGCACAACAGGGTGGCACCCGAAGATTTCAAAGGATGAAGGTCACGTACCCAGGGTCAYGCAGGTAGCCCCCAGAAGGAGAGACTCAGACTGACCACAACCCAGATGCCGTGCCTAAGTTGCAATCGCGGGGCCTGGGGGGCAGGATCAGCCTGTCCAGTTCCCCACATGACTGACTGAGCCGGGTGCTAATGCTGGGTGGTGAGTCCACCCATTATCGCTGCTCCTGAGGGCGACAGCCTTGGCTCAGTATTGCCTAATGACAGGGAAGCCCTGGGACCGGGCCAGGTCCAGGTGACCAAGCTTTTACTCTTCAGCCAGCGGCACTGGGGGTTCCTTCACAGTCTGGATCAATGTGAGAATTCTCTCATGGCCCCAGAGAAATCTGCCATTTTTAAATCTTAGGAAAATGAAGTGCACATTGTGAATTTCTATCATTGATGAATGGGTAAACCTAGCTCCTGTATTTACTAAAGTCCTTAGGTTTTAGGAAAATTCTGGTACGCTAGAGGCAAGAAAGAAAAGCTTGTTCTTAATTAACAAAAGAACTAGAAAAGGACACCCCCAGCCTGACTGCCCGACCCGGCCTGRACAGTCCCCCGGCCCAGGAGGCCCGTGCCACAGAGGAGGGAGGGTCTTCAGGACTGTGAGCTCACCTCCTGGCTAGTCAAGTGCAAAGAAGAAAGACCCAAGAGCGAAGTAAAACCTTCTCATAGCCAAACAGCTAAGGTGTGGCTTTGTCCAGACTCCRGCATCCTAACCAGAATAGAAACCACCAATTATGTGAAAAGAAGAATCATCTAGGTTTATTTTCCAAAAAGAAATAGATTTTTTGTGTCATTTATCATTCCCAGGCAACATATTCTTTGAGACCATTTCAGATTTCCTTAAGAATGTGTGTTGCCTGTAACGGACCACTTCAAATTTGTGAAAAAAAAAAAAATGGCCATTTTGTTATTTTTAGAGACACAAAGTGTTTCTAATCTAAGCATGCATGCACACCACTTTGAGATAGTAAGATCATTAGTAAGATCATGGCTTCAATGTTTCTGTGAATTGAAAACTATTCAGAATCTATGAACAGTGGTAGCAGATTATTTTCTAGATTAAATTACTCTATAATCATGTCTAGATTAATTTTTAAAACATGCCTTAAAGGATTAGGGTTAAAATGGATTATGCATTCTTGATTTTTGTTAGAACACATTGGAAAAAAATCATAACTTCAGGATCCCAAATAGCCAAATGATGATCCCTCAATTAAAAAACTCAGAGATGCATTTCAGAGTGTTAGACATGCTCGCTGGTTCTTTGTGTTTTGTGACCTCCTCTCTGAAACCACCCACACAGGCTTTGTTACACGAGTCAAGGGATCTGATGGGCCACCCCACCCATCTTTCCAGAACTGGCCGCTCTCCTGTCCCATTTTCCAGGGGGGACACTGAAGCCTGTTGACACCAGCTCCTGTGGTCCCACTAGGCATGCCAGGACGTCGCGTTAGCACGTCTTCACTGTGGACAGTCCACACGCTTTCCCAGAGTTACCTCCATGCGCTGGTTGACGCTGAGTGAAACTCACAYTTGACAGGTCGTCTGGAGACCTCCCCCGCGTCCCCGCTCTGACGTGGGTGCCACCGATGAAGCCCTCTGGGAATGCCCTTTGCTTCTGTCCCTAGGACTCTCTTGCATTGATCTGGGCTGAGGAACCAGGAGGCATCAGACACACTCAGTGTCCTGTTCTCCCTGGGAATTCTGGCCGGAGCAGCCCACGGTGCTGGGGGGGTGGGCCTCAGCTGCTGTTGTGAGAGTGGGAAGCCGAGAGAGGAGGGCAGAGAGAGGACACGTGTGTGCAGAGAGAGGACACGTGTGTGCAGAGAGAGGACACGTGTGTGCAGAGAGAGGACACGTGTGTGCAGAGAGGCCCGGTTCATCTGCTCACCGTCTCTGAGAAGCCTGAGAGATGGAGAAAAGCGAGGGGTCTCCCGCGCCTGGCTTCACGAAGGCTTTGGATTCTGTCCTGCGTGCCCCTCAGGCGGGCAGTCCTGACCTGGAGCACCACCCTCTCCCGTAAAGCGAGACCGTTCCCATTTCCTGGGAGTGTTCCTCCCACATCTGGACGCCATTTCCTTCCCTCCTCCTTCCCAGCCTCTGAGAAACAATCTTGGTAATCAAAATKTGGAATGTCTTTTTAGATCTCTTGAAAATGTATTTTAAAATATTCTTTTAAAGTGCAAAAGAAACAAAAGGCTTTTGATTTCCGAAACAGTTGGCCCAAGCTTGAAGAGTTCAAGGTCTTAGGCTTGGTGACACTCTTGTCATTGTTTAGATTCCACCAGGCACAGGCCCGGAGGAGGGGGCAGTGCAGGGCAGGACACCAGGACCTGGGGAAAACACCCACTAAAAACCGAACCAAGAAGGAGATGGCCACTGAGGCTGGCCCTCGGCTGTGCAGAGGGGACCTCAGGCAGGGGAGGTGGTCTGGAACCTGAAAATGCAGCTTCAAATCTGAGCCAGCCTCCCGGGACAGAGCCACCTCCCTGCCTCCTTGAACCTGGGAGCCACTTCCAAATGACAGTGGCCGTGTAGGAGCAGGGGAGCAGAGGTCGGAGTGGACCAGCCCTGGCTGTGGGTGGTGAGGTCCAGCAGAACATCTGGGAAACACAAGGTCTTGCAGCTGAGAGCAGTGATCGAATGTGCTTTTCTTCTTGTCAGTTTACACAGCAGTTTTAAAATATTGCTCTCCTTTCTCCTCCCATGAATACCTGCCAAGAGTAATATCCAATCAGATTACTGTGAAATAAGCAAATGCCCACTTCTTGCCTGCGATCCCTTCCTGGTGCAGTTCCTCCAACTGCATAAATAGGACAGCACAGAACAGAGGAACAGTTGTTTCAAGATCACTTCAAAACCCCCAAATGTTCATATTTAATCTAACTCTTGCAGCATTGTGCTCATGAGGAAAAGAAGTTTTAATACACGGAACCAGTTAGTACATAGCTGGCACGGAGGTGACAGTTTCAGTCAGCTCTTCACTGCTGTGACCAAAAGACCTGACAAAAACGAGGAGAAGGTTTGGGGGCGCACAGTCTCAGGGATCTCAGTCCACAGATGGCCGACTCTGTCCCCCAGGGCCTGAGGTGAGGCAGGACATCATGGTGGAGGTGCATGGCAGAGGAATGTGGCCGGGGACACGGAGCCAGGAAGCAGAGAGAGCTCTGCTCAACAAGGACAGTATGTGCCCCCAAAGGCACACCCTGGGACCCACCTCCTCCAGCCACCTCCTGCCTCCTCCAGCCACCACCCAGTTCATCCCATCGGTGATTAACTCACTGATCGGGATGAGGCTCTCATAACCCGTCACTTCTCCTCTGAACCTTCTTGCATTGTGTCACACATGAGCTTTGGGGGACCCTCACATCCACACCGTAACAGACTGCTCGCTCTCCTCCTTCCATAAGATGTT